CATACATACATACATACATAAAGCATCCTATAGGAACTGAAACATACTTTAATAACCAGTTTACCCATAAATCACTGAAATACTATTTAGTTGTAAAATCACTTCCTGAAAATTGTTTATATCTGTGATGCATCGTGTCAGGCACTTATGACACCTCTGGATTGGTATTCAAGCCTCAGATAAATAGACTCCATCTCACAGTTCCTCTGCATTTCCCTTAGCGTTACCTCAGAAACGGCATTTATGACATCAACTTTCTTCTTGAGTAACAGGTTGGGGACGGGGTGGACAGTCCATAATGTTGATCTTGTGAGTCTGGAACCAAGATTCTGCTGGCTTACTGGTGGGTTTGGTGTTGTCTTCTTGAAACACCCAATTCCTCTACAGAATAAAGTCACCTCTTCAAATATTCCAACTTAGTATGTGATAAAAACAAGTCAAGTGTCAGTGGATGAGAAACCTTCCCATCTCATGATGTGTGAGTCACCCCGCTTTACTTTGCAATCTTAGTTTAATCAATCCTACAGTTGGACAAATGACTTGTGTTTCTCTTGCTTTCTGTTCTTAAAAATAAATTACAACTGATGAAAAATATTTCAATTGTTCCTTCTGGGAACTGACCTGCATTCAAAGTCGAAATCAAAACGAGCTGTAAAACATGTTTGTAAAACCAGATGGCAGGCCGTCGACAGGTTGACATCACTCAAAAACACAAAGAACAAAATCCTGATTTTCTGAAAATGAACAGAAATTTCAATTAATCGATTAAATTGGTTGGTTTTACTGCAATTTTTTGGAGAGAAATGCAATGTAAACAGCATATTGCTGCAACTGGCCTTAAATTAGGATAATCAATTTGGAACACTGCTACAGTTTGAGAATACACCTTTCACTTAATGATTCAATTACACTAATTAAGCATCAAACATATTTTTATGATCAGTGATGTGTGGCTATCATTTTGCACACAGTTGTATATATAGTTGAGCAGCCAATTTCCACCCCCCCCCCCAAAAAATATAATTTCATTCTTCAAAACTCTTGAGGTTTTAGAGAAGGTCACTTCTTTTTTTTAACTACTAATGCCCCAAAGTTCACCATTACACAGTTTATCCAGTCAAATAAATTTATTTCATAAATAGTTTAAATACAGTTATAAAAATTACAGGTGTTCTTATTGTTAAATAAATATATATTTTATAAATATCTAAATAATTCAGGTCTCAACTACATTATAGTGCAAAGAATTCCAGTGCATTTAACTACAGTCTTAACAAAACTAAAAAAGGCATCAAAATCTGAAAATCTGTAGACTCTGCAAAGGCTGGCCATTATTTCATCATCATCTTCACTGTAGGAGTCAAAGCTGAGCACAACACAACATTTAGTCAGAAGAAAACCTTTAGCAATGGTATTTTCAAAGAAATAAAATTATGCTATCTCACTCCAATATCAGTATAAATATTTAAATACAAATCTTGACCATGACAAATAACATTAGAAAAACACAAATTAAACTTTTTTTTTTACATCATTAGGAAATTTCCCCCCTTCCTGTATTTAGCTTCTTGAACGTACCACATTTCTACTACACATGGACTTCACTACCTCCTTCACATTATGTCCCCAGGCCTTCAGCCTGTCTATAACAGCACATCCATAGACTTGCTTTCCATAGGAATATTTATGGGGCAGGTTCAGTGGAGGAGGTGATGTAGGCACAGGTGTCGATGGGTCATTGGTTTTGATGTGGCATTCTACTTTTGTTAAAAGATGCTTGAGTCTCTCCTTTAGTTCTGAAGAGGCGTTCAAAACGGATGCTGTTGAGAAAAGTTCCTTCTGATATTTTTCTACTTGGGAGAGATGCAAAGAAAACAGCTCATTCTTGGCATAGATGTCTTGCAGCTTCTCAATCATGTTGGAACCTGCAACCGTAGCGCTAGGAACCTCATCTGGAATCTGATTATTACAGCGATTGTTCTTCTTCTGTGATAAAAGAAAAGAAAATGTAAAAAATTGTGGGCTAAAAAAAGTCATTTTAAAATACAGATTTTACTTATAGACTGGAGCCAATCACTAAACATTATGTCTGGAAAGCTGAAGGATTTGAAGTGCAAAAAGCATAAGCCACAGATAACTTAAGAGTTATGTCAAAGGTTGATTTTGTTTTACTGTTGCTTCTTAAAGAATAGTGTATAATATACTAGTATATTGTGTATTTAGTTCCATAATACTGGATTAATTGCTCTTCCTGAAACGAGCTATTGCACCCATTAAGTTCTTTCTTTTTACTTTCCCTCATTGAAAGCACTTCTGGGTTGGGCTTTGGTATTTAGTTGTGTTTTTTTGTTCAATTCAAATTCTAATAATTTGTTGGTTGCGACAGACTGGTGACCTGTCCAGGATGTACCCCGCCTCTCGCCCGGAACGTTAGCTGGAGACAGGCACCAGCAACCCTCCCGACCCCACTAAGGGACAAGGGTGTAAAGAAAATGAATGAATGAATGAATGGATGGATGGATGGATGGATGGATGGATGGATGGATGGATGGATGGATGGATGGATGGATGGATGGATGGATGGATGGATGGATGGATGGATGGATGATTTGTTGGTGAGGGTAAAAATTGTTGGCAGTGTTATCTTATTTAGCAACAAAATTATGCTTTGGTACAGCAAATTGTAAAATCACTTACACTGGTACTTACATATTCTTGCAGTGTCTCATTTGTTTTGTGTATCAGTAAATTCGTAATATCCAGAGTCTTTTTGGAAGAACACTCGTGATCCGCATTGCTTTCGAAAGAACACCTGTGTTCAGTCGGAGCTGGAAGTACAAGAATCCGGTGATTCCCCAGAAGCATCAAGACCAGCACTAAAAAAAAAATAAAATAGGATTAATATTATGTACATTGAGTTGGAACCAAACATTTGCATTCAATGATTAGGACCTTTTAAGAAATAATTTTTGGTGGTGTGGGATTCAGAGTTGTATAAAATAATACATAATCATAAAATAATGTTGCTGGATTATTTTATGTCACTTATATCTCAGTGTTTAATTGTTTTTTAGGCTTTTTCTTATCTTGGCCTGCAATGGAACTGCAGATGTGTTTTAGCTATAGACAATGAACCGGTACAGTGCATCAAATGGTGGCATGTATGTCTGAGTTGTATGTTGTCCCCGTTTAAATATATATAGTCAAAGTAAAAAAGAAAATTATAAAAATATAAATTATTTTCTTCACTGTCACATCAAATAACAGTAAATATTTCTTGTTTTGCCATTTAGGATTACAAAACATTTCTTAAAGGACACTCTATCTCCTCATATGTGAGAATTACCATGCCATTAAACAATATGGAAAAACTAGACAGTGTATGTAAAAATCTTAGTATTGTAGCTCTCCTTGGCATATTAAAATGAGAATGTTTATACTAATAGTGCCATAGAAAAGTCTGTAAACGGAGCCAAGGTTTACATTTTCAGTGATTTTATGCATCATAAAACTCCTGAACATTTAATCCAACTTCTCTTCCAGTTAGTATCAACAAAAATAATGCTCGATATTTTGAGAAGATACTAACAACTACAAAAAGTTGCAAAAGAACAAAGCCAAAGGAAACGCCATGAAAGCTAATCTATTACTAAAAAGAAAATATTAGATACTCTGAAAACAATATTTCAGTTATAATTAAAAGTACTTACCATAGTGCATTAGACATCCATTGAACTTAGAGTCCATAATGACAGCAAGTGACTTCAGTAACTCAAGGTGTTGCTCTTCAGTGACAACAGTGACCTATATTGCATTTATAGCTGACAACACCCACCTCTTTTTGACACACACACAAAATCTACTCAGTCATTCAATAAGATTCCATTGAGGTGTTTTTAGACACTTGCGTCATTAACAGATAACGGCTCATTTTAGAATTTCAAAGACTCAGGAATTAATTTGAAGGTATTGTTCAATTTCAATCCCAAAAACCTTTTTCTTTTCCTTTGTGATTTTTGGTTTAGCTCACACTATGATACCTAGGATACCATAACAATGCAAGTCATCAGGAGTTTCACAACAGTGTATTTATGTACGGGTGTTTAAGTAAGACTTTTCACTCAATATTTTTATGTAGAAAATCCTGTATGCTTTTAAACTAGATTTCTAGATTCTCAATGACATCCATGTTATTTTCATTTTTATGCACATAAAACATGATGTGTAAGTATTCCTGGTAACCAAAGATCAGAAAAAGTAACTTATTTGATGAGAT